TGCAGGTAGCCTGCCAAAAACTTGTGTACTTAGTCTCATTCACAACTTATTCCGATGACCTCTATCAGATATTTTTCTGTATATACACATTCACTTTTTACCCTTTATTGTGCTTTGTTTATATGTTGCTCTGTATGTTTAATGAATGAGTAAATCAACTATGTAACCCATTACATGGCAGTCAGATGACTTCGTCTTGCAAAACTGACCCCTAAGGAGACAGGACAACAGTAGTACAAAAGTGTGGTATCAAAAAAAATTTACTTCAAAGTCCCTAAATTTATAAATAGGATTTTTACTTAAGAAAACTAGTTCTTATTAGTACCAAAGAGGACAAGGCAAACAATATCTTTAAGTGAACAGATTTATAAGTATATCATGCATATAATCATTAAGAATCATAGAAGGAATTAATTTGTAAAGTCACTTTCCCATAATCTTGGCCAATCTCTTTAAAAACTATATTTAACTTAGCTTTAACTCCAAAGATGATGGTCTATATCTGAGAAAAAATGGAAAAAGAAACCTTAAGAATAATTTAGAACAAAACCTCCCAGTAAAGGAAGAGAACAGTTGTTTGTATGGGTCATACCAAGGAAGTCTATGGACTTGGCCTCTGAAAGGGCAGACACTATACATAGTTCCTCACAGTCAAGCCTCTGATGTGGGTATTTCAGGTTGCTAATCTCTGCTTCCCAGGACAAATTTTCATTGCTCCTCGCATTACTTATCTGCCACAAAGAATCTTACACCTTTCAATCTAACGTGAACAATGAATTTATTTAAATTATCAAGGAAAAAAAAAAAAAACTCTTCCCAATACATTTTTATTTAAGTCTCATCGAGGATTTGGAGAGGCCTTTTTTTTTTTTTTTTTTTTTTTTTTTTTTTTTTTTTTTTTTTTTTTTTTACCCAGGACTGTATTTTTGCTTAAGACAGCTTATCCACTCTCTCAACTATAGACATTGTTATTTTAGCTAAAGGAATATTTCCTATTATCCAACTAATATTTATTCTGATCTTCCAATTCTTTTCCCCATTTTTGTTTCTCTTCCTAATCCTCTACGCCATCTATCCACACCCATTTCCATAAAATTGAAAACAAAAATGGTAACAAAGACTAACTGATTGATTTTCTTCTATACTTTTGTAGAAGCTCATTAACATGCAAAAAAATAAGATATATTTACTATTTTTTTAAACAAGACAACATAATACTATGTCATTTACTTTCTAAAATCCTCATGAACTTTTTCAAAGTTTAGATATATGGGTCCAACTTATTTTTATTAATAACCACAAAGGATATACCTCTCATATGAAGTATTTTACATAAAAGACATGTCATATTTTCAACTCTTCAACCATAAATACCATTTCATGTTTTTTTCTATTGCAAATAATTTTACAGTAAACTCCCATATGCATAAAAATCTTATGTTTTAGTTCACTCAGTTTTATAAAATATATCAGTCTAAGTTAGACTAACCAAAGGCTATTGAACATTTCAAATACCAATTCATAGAAAAATATAATTTTCAAAAACATAACAGCCGTGCACATTCACATTTTGAATGAAAAATAATGTGAATTTCCTCAAACTTTAACCCTTGGCTCACTTACAATATATACTACATTTTAATGTTTATTATTTGGTAGATTAAAGAAAATCATATTACTTTGAATTTTATGTCCCTGATTTGCACATTAGGATAAAAAATATTCATTGGTTACTTGCATTTTAATTCTGTGAATTATCTTTTCATATTTTTTTGCCTAGTTTACTATTCTTTCATTTGTCCTTAATCAATACCGGAAGTCTTGTTATTTTAATATCAGCACTTTGCCTATATTTGTGGCACGTATATTCTCTTGGCCCATTTTTCTACTTTTTATGTTGAGTTTTTCCTTGTTATTATTTTTGGTATTGATTTTGCCAATTTGCACCAATCATTCATGTACTAATGGCCCCGGTGACGGGGGGAGGGTCCCCTCAGCCTTGCCTGCACCCTCTCCAATCTGGGACCCCTGGAAGACTGTCCAGCCACTCACATGCCTGCCTGCCTGCCAGCATGCTCTGCTCACCCTCCCCCCCCCCCAGCCAGCCTGATCACCCCCAACTGTCACCCGTCCAGTGTGCTCCTCCCCAACTACCCCTTGCTTGCCTGCTCACTCCAAACTGCACCCCCCCCCCCATTCTCCTGATCACCTCCAACTAACCCACACTGAAAGCCAGCTGGCCCCCAACTGAATCCCCTGCTGGTTTGCTTACCCCCAACGGCCCCAACCCCACCATCCTGATCACCCACAACTGCCCTCCCCTCTTAGCCTCTACCTTGGTCCCACCACCATGGCTTTGTCCAGAAGAACGTCCAGGTCTGCTGGAAGGTCTCCCAGTCTAATTAGCATATTAAGCTTTTATTAGTATAAATAGAGGCCTGGTGCACTTGTGGGGGCTGGCTGGTTTGCTCTGAAGTGTCCTGGATCAGGGTGGGGTCCTGCTGAGGTGCCTGGCCAGCCTGGGTGAGGGACTTATGGTTGTTTGCAGGCTGACCAAGCCCCCAGCAGGGACCCTCATCCCATAGGGGTGTGGCCAGCCTAAATGAGGGGCTGATAGCCATTTTCTGGCTGGCCATGTCCCCCAGCGACCCAAGCTCCCAGACCCTAATTTTTTTTTCTATTTCTTTTCTTTTTTTTTCCAGCACCTCCTTGAGTGGAGGCCAGAGCCAGCTGGAAGCAGGTATCTGGGATTTATTTATCTTCTATAATTGAAACTTTGTAGCTTTGAGTGGAAGCCAGGGCCAGTCATGGCAGGGGAAACCCAAGCCAGGGGAAACCCAAGCCTCCTGCTTGCTCCAGCTCCATGGCTGCTGCCATCTTTGTTGGGTTAATTTGCATACTTGCTGGTGGGTGTTTTCTTCCAGATGGTTAGCAAATTATGTTAATGCAATCTAAACCCCTGCTTTGTTCTAAAACAAAAATACTTCAAATGCATATAACTCCAATACTATATATTGATCCTGTTCTGAACCTGCAGTTATATCTTCTAGAGATCATTCTTTCTATATGTGGGAACTTAGACACTACTGTGATGAACATATTTGGTAAGGTGAAAATATCTCTTATAAAAAATTTCCTTGGCCTCATATATTTATACTTCTATGTAATCTTTAATATAGTCTGATCCAGTTTGCCAAAGAAATGAACCATTGGCCATAGCTTTCTAATAACAACTGTCTAAATGTTGTATGTCAGTTTGGGAGCGAGTAATGTGATTATGACATTAAGCTTTTCTACACAGGATTGTGGCATGACTTTCCATTTATTTTGAATCATTGTAAGTCCTTTGACAAAATGTTATAGTTGTCATCAGACACGTCTGAGAGTTTTCTTGTTAAAGTTATGTCTTGTGTTTTATATTTTGTCACTATTCTGAGTTTATTGGCCTAGCAGGGCTTCCAAATAATGCCAAAATAATAAAGCCTGGGATAACCCAATCATTACAAGCAGTACACTGTGCATGGAGACAAGTGGCATGAACCTTTGTTCACCTTTTCCGTTGTTTCTTAAAAATAATCAGAAAACTCTCCCAGTTTGGCATTTGAAAGTAAACTAATTAAGCAATACTGCCTAGGCCTCAAACCAATCTCCTACTTACTATTTTTACAAACTACATTATCCAACTAAACTATTTAACTTCCTTTTGTGTACCTACTTAGCTGGACACGCCTTGATCTGGTAGCACACTTTGCTTTTGGTTTTGTTTTTTTTTTAATTTTTTCAATTGTCATTTCCCATTGATTTGTAGAGAGAATGGAAAGGAGAAGTAGAGATGGAAAGAGAGACATCAATGTGAAAGAGACACATCAATTGGCTGACTTCTGCAATTGGCTGGCTTCTGCATGAGCCCTGACAAGAGCAGGGAATTGAACCTGTAACCAAAGTATGTGTCCTTGACTGGGAATCAAACCCAAGACCCATCAGTTCATAGGCCTATGCTCTAAGCACTGAGTAACTTGCCAGGGCCTGGCAGTGGCTTCCTTCAACTTCCCTATTGATAGTTTGACCATCAAGGTGATTTCCTACTTTTATTTAAATTAGTCCCAACATATAACAAGCAAACAAACAAACAGACCAAAAATTAGAGTCCTTTTTTGAGTAGAGTAACTGTCCTTCATTGCCTCATTTAGACTATTGATCTGTTGAGATATTCTTGAAATTAGATAAGTTATGCCACTCTCACCCACTGTGGTTGTTAAATCAACCACATAACCCAATCATATAACTCAATTTGTTAATAACAATTCTCATTTATATTCTAGCACATGCTAAAAAAAAAAAGTGAATAAAAATACTGACTTTCCAGTTTTCTTTAATTAGTTACTACCTCTTATTTACAAGGAATACAACTTTTAAGAAATAATTTGTTTAGATCTAAGCCTTCAAATTTTATTTATTTATCCATTTTTATGGCAAAGTAATGTGAAGGAAGAAACAATCAAAATCTCAATTAGTTTTAAAGGGGAAATTCTTGTGTTCTTCTGGACCCATCCTCTCATAAACACTGAGAAGGCAAATTTGAATTGACCCAATATTATATTCATCTGTTATCACACATGCTTAGTTTTCAGCCCTGTGGATATATTTTGACGGCTTATTAGACTTTATATTTTCTAAGACAAATTATTTGACTTAGTGCATTTAATAGTATTAAAAGTTAGGTCCACCATCAAATCTGCCAAAACTTCATCAATATGTAAGCATGATTGTAAAGTTGTTTTTGCCCTATGGGCTATTATTTCAAGAATATTTGCCTAAATTATGAAAAAACAAACAAACATGGAGTCAAAAACAATTGTAGCCATATCTTTATGTTAATTGTATAATGAATGTCAACAATCCACTAGTAAATCATGATTATTTTTCCCCAACAATCATTGTTCAATAGGAAAGAACTTTTTGATTAAATACTCCCATAAGTATAGGTGGAATGTTTCTACCTGTTCTTTGACTGAGGCAAGAATGGCAGAGGTGGTTTCTGTTTCTGAGCCATCCCCGTTGGAGGTGGTTAGGCCAGGACTCAGGGAGCTGGTTTTCTCTGAGGCTGACGAAGGCTGGTCGGGGACAGGCATAGCTCCTGCAATGCAAGAGGACACACTCAATGCAATCTGATGCTATCACTTTCCACAAACACAACTAGCAGGCAACTCTGAGCCATACACTTTGGCAAAATGGGAATTATGAACTACAGAGAAAACCCATAACAAAATAGCAGAAAGGGAAACATATGAATAGAACAGTTCCTCGTCCAGCAACCCCAACCGAATTCCACAATACATGCACAACTTTGTGTTTCATCTTCAAGATAAATGGGGAAAGGAAAATGAAAGTAAGATTATAAGAAAGAGTTAAGATATTAAGAAATATTGAGTTTAAAAAGAAGCTAGTCAAACCACCTTTACATATCTGTTAGGTAAATTTATTACTTGGGCATTGGCATATTTCCACCTAAAAAGAAAACCTGTTAAATTCCTCTTTCTACAGAAATCACAGAAAAGAAATGGTTAATAATTTATAAATAATTAAGAAATAGCACAATTAACATAAGAAACTTAGCTGGTTTTGTAAAATATAGTAAATAACTAGCCCACTCCAGAAATATTTACCAAGTCCTTACTCTGTGCAAACAAAGCTCCTTAAATCTGGCAAAGCTCATTTGCCACAGTTTGTTTTGTCTGAGTTCATTTATGAAAGGAAGGAGAAACTCATAGCATCATCCCGGTTCCTAAATGAACACACATGCTCAGGTTAAACTAATATCATTTTATTCTATTGCATTTGTCTTAAACAAAATATTTGTTACATATATTATCTAGCAATGCTCACCAGTATAGGAAATAATAATTAACTGAAAATATTTTTGTTTTGTTTTCTTAAATTTATTTTTATTGATTTCAGAAGAGAGAGGGAGAGAAAGATATAAACACCAATGATGAGAGAGAAACATTGATCAGCTGCCTCCTGCATACCCCCTACTGGAATCGAGCCCACAACCTGGGTATGTGTCTTGACTAGGAATCAAACCTTGACCTCCTGGTTCATAGGTCAATGCTCAACCACTGAGCCATGGGCAACTAACAACATTTTTTAACAAGAAATTACAAAATCATTATTCATTAAAAAAAAGGCTAGAACTAAATAAAGGTAATTTTCTTACCTAAAGCTATCATATCCTATGTCCTTCCAGGAACCAGTGCTCTGTGAATGCTAAAAGGAATTTCCTATTACACTATGTCTGTACATTCTGGCTTTTACACTAAGTGACATAATCTTCATAGCAGCCCTAACACTGTATTATTAGCTACACTTAGTTAATAATTTAGGGTTATGCAAACCCAAAGGGCTCCATTACAAATTTTCCTTAAAATATGGGTAGGGGAAAAAAGGAGTTCTATGAAATGTAACCTCATATAGTGAACAGATTATAAATTATTAACTGGGCAGGCCATGGTGGGTAGTCATGCCCCAAGCCAATAAAGGGTTTTAAGCTAGCCCTATCCATTGTTCTTGTGCATCTAGGTTAACGAGCCTTTGAAATACCAACAGTACTACAGCTTGTTGAGAATATTAACCCTCAAGAGAGCACATAATCTTGTTAACTCTCCTGTAATCCAATCCTTTCTGTGCTTTCTCCAGTTTTCCTACATCCTCTCCTTAATTTCAAAAGCATAAAAGACACCCCAAAACAGTCTTCAGAGCAGAGATCTTGTTCCCAGTCTATGTGGCCACTCAAGTAAGCTCATGAGAATTCTTTATAGATTTGGCCTTTTCTTATACCAGTAATTATATAATTAAAAAGAAAAAAGTGGTCATCTAATTTGCTCATTGGAAATTTCCACTTAGTTTTAACTTGTTTTTAATTTTTGGAAGTGAATTCTTTATGCTGCTACCAATAGAGATTGGATCAGCATTGGAAAAATAAGTCTGTTACAAACAATAGATGAGAGGGTTGGGGAAATAATACTAAGGAAGAAAAGTTTGAGAAAAGAGTAAGGATCAAAATAAATATAATTTGGTAAAATGCAATCATGGCTATTGAGAGTAGTTTAGGTGATGGATGCCAATAGAATTAAAGAAACAGATTTAAGTAATTATGGTGGTGGGATCAGGTGGATAATAGGTACAGTTGTGTGTTCAATTTGCTTTCATACCTGTTATTTTTATTTGTTCAAATCTCAATGATAAGGATGTAGATAAACAAGTGAACAAATGTTTTGTCCAGGTAAAATCGCTTGAAAGCCATGCCCTTCTGTTAGGAGAGGTTTGGGAGATGAGGGAAGGGGGCAGGGGCAGAAAGTAAGAAGGAAAGAAAAAGGCTAAGTCGCCTGTGGTGAGTAGAAGACCCACCTTTGGCTTTGCATCTGTACCCACAGCCATGCCTGTGGCTTCCAAAGGGGACACTATTTAAGGCAGCCCAAAGCTGAGAAAGGAGGAGTCTTATATATTTTAAATTATTTTCTAACATTTGCGTTTTCTAAATGCCATTGGGCCTATGTGAATTCAGGCTATGAGCCAGTATTACCATCAATACTTTTTTTTTTAACAAAGAAATTATATGAGGTCCCAAAGTTATTAAGTAACATAAGTAGACTTAGAACCCAGATTTTCTCTCTTTTCATTTCTATTTTGGTGTTCTTTGATGTATCAACCTATTTCACATAACCTGTACTGCCTCCTAAATGCTTGTCTACACACCAATTTATATAAAATGTAACTCTTAAAAGTATGATAGTAACCTATCATAATAAAATATGTGATTTAATAGGCAAAGAATCAAGGTATATCCTTAGGCACTTGACCATTCTGACCCTCAGAATATAAATAATAATTTAGTCTGTTTATCTGCGCCTCCTTTCTCCTATAGCAATCACAGAAAGGGAAATGAAATTCACAAGGCTTATCCCCCTCAGAAGGAGCTACTGTGACCCAAGGCACAAAAATGGCTTGGAATAATTTTCATGGTTCAAATTTTTCACGTCTGGAGTTAACTGAACCACTAGGTCATCACTAAGTATGAATGGGGAAGCTGATCAGTCTCCACTCCCGATCTCCTTATCTCACACCACCGGAGGAGAGGGAGAGCTGTGGATCACCGAAGGGTAAGCATGAAGAGCCTTAAGCCTCCCGGCTTCACAGTCTATGGGTAAGAGCTTCAGTTTTAATTAGAGATAATCCACTAAAATTAGTAGTTAATCTATGCTAAATCCAGAAATGTAGGGACGCGTGCGCGCGCGCGCACACACACACACACACACACACACACACACACACACACAGCAAAGGAAGAGCAATCAGCTGTAAACCTGCCACCCCAGATAGTGCATGCACTTTGATATTTTGGTAGATGTTTTATTGATTTTTTTCCTGAAATGACTCGTTTTGCATGATAAGTTTTATATAAGGGGTCTCAATGCAATGCTTTCTAGGTAAAAATTTTATTTTGCTCAGCAAAATACCATGAACTATTTCTTATATCAACAAAATTTTTTCTATAGCAATGTAACAAATACTTGTACCAATAGCCATAGGTATTAAAATGTATCTATCTTTTTTTTGCAAATATTATTCCATTTTTACATTTTTGACAGTTTTAATAGATAAATTCCTGAATCTGGTATTGATGGAATGAGGAAGCTGTGCATATTTCAGACTTTGGGGAGCCAAAATAAATTGCCCTGCTGCCCACCAGCAGTGCCCTGAGAATGTCCCCTCCTCATGTCAGTAACAACATGGGCACTCACTATTCTGTCCTGCTTTCACCCTTTGATTTTGCTTTTATTTGAGGAGTACAGTGGACTTTTCCCACATACAACACCTACATATTTCTCATCGTACATACAACACCTTTTCATATTCTTTACACAATTACTGTGTAATAAGTCTTTCCAATCTTAGTCAAATGGGAATCTACAAACACCTAGACTGCATTTTAGACAAAGCCATCTTCAACAAGAGGAAAGAGACAATAATAAGGAAAGAATAGTGTTAAATTGGGGGTGGGTAATTCTCTAGCAGAACTTATAAGTGCTATGTCTAGAAAATACAGAACAACAACAAAACCCAGCAGTTCCAAATCGTGTTGTTCCATGTCCTCACATGCATGAGTAGTGTTATGGACTGAATTCCTTGCTCCCAGCTGCCATCTTCACCTCCATCTCACCCCCAAATACATAAATTGAAGTTCTAGTCCTCAGTGTGACTATATTTGTAGAAGGGGCCTTTAGAGAGGTAATGAAAGTTAAATATGGTCACGGGTTGAGGTCCTAATCCCATAGGGCTGTTAGCCTTAGAAGAACAGGCCAGAGGTGTTACTCTCTACCTGGTGAAGACACAGAAAACAGGTGGCTGCCAGGAAGAAGACTCGCCATAAATGTGCTTTGCCGGCATACTGACCTTGGACTTCTGGGTTCCAGAGCTGTGAGAAAATACATTTCTATTGTTTAAGCCATGCAGGCTAAGATATCTTCTTATGGCAGACCAAGTGAACTAGTATGGACAACATTAGATTGTTCTCAGCTTCATCCTCTGAATCCCCTCAGGCGGTGGCTTGAGAGGATTGCTAACTGGTGAGAATAGCAGGGTGAAACTATCTAAAACAGCTCTCTGTTGACACCTTCACTGGATATATACCCTTGGCATCAGGAAAATACATGTGCTACTTCAAATCAGAACACTTGGATAAATCCAAGTTTATGAAAGAAAATACCCATTGGTATGAAATTATCTTGGTAGACAAAACACGATCTTAAGAACATCCATTTTATCACCACTTTCAGATGGGATACAGTAAGACATTTAGAGAAAATGGCTGGGATGACAATACTAACAAAAGCAGGCTGCCCCATATAGTGAAATGCCATTTCATTTTAAACCCTTATATTCAAATGTAATAAGATTATGAGGTTCAAATGAATATCCTAAAATTTTATTTCCCAAGCTGTCCACTCCTATAATGGTTACATAGTATAACCCATTGGCCTCTTATTCTTTCAATTCTCCTCATTCTTCACTCCAAGGGCCCTCATGTTCTGTTGATTCCAAGACTTGTTTCTTCCTTCCCCCCCCCCCCCCCCCAGA